GATATATGGATTGACTTATGGGATGATTATAGTATCAAAATGATTAACACGTGCAAGCACACTTATCAATGAACTTGATACATGTTGCAGAAATGTTTTATCCATGCCTTTCAACTTGCGTGTGCAAAATTCAAAATTGAATGAATGTGAAGCAATTTGTACAAATAGAGACATTTTTGTGAATACAAATGTTTTCCTTTGTATTAGTGTATCATAATTTGCACATGCAACACAGAAGACGTGCATGTGTGGATCAGGTGACGCGCGTGCATTCATTGACTCGATTCATTGAGTCGATCCTATTTGATTCATTTGGATTTTGAGACTTTCATTTCGCGGGTTTCGCCTTGCACGATCCACACACAGCTGTCTGAGAAAAGCTGCTACCACTAGATGGCAGTATTCTGCTAAAATAGACAACGGCAGCATAATCAAGCGTTCTTCCGCATTTAAGACGCTTAATGAGAGTGATATTGAAGCACCAAATTTAGTACACAATAATATAGGCCTACCCTATTAATAAAGCATACTTTATAGAGGCAAACATTACGTCAGATTATGAACAACACCCATAGAAAACCATTATAAAACGCTTAACGTGCAATCGCGCGTTGCATGTTCAGTAAGGTGTATTGGCTACTGAGTTTAAATATCACCGTCTTACTGCATTGACGTTAAGCTTTTTCTTTATAATATGCTCTATGGGAGGAAAACTATATAGCCTACAGACAAGAGACTACATGAACGCAATGTACGGCGTTTCAAGTTAATAACATTTTCCTTCCCGAGCCTGTTAAAAAGAAAAAGCTTAACATGAAATAAAAATTCTGCAGTTGCGTTTAACTTTGCATGTGAATGGGAGAGCAACCGGTCCGAGAGTGCAGTAAAGTTTGATATTCGCCTCATTTTATAAAGGGACCATCTGCAAACTCCACTCACAGTCAAAAAAATATAAACGTCCAGTCATTCATTCAAATGAACATATTTCCAAGGTTATATTATAACCTTGGAAGTCTAGTGGGCAGACTGACTTAGCCTACTGTTACTGTACTATGTCCAGCCAATATCTCGATTGAACAGTAGCCTACAATTTTTTAATTTACTGTAAATTGTTTTTCTATTCATGTTCCAAAGGTTGTAGTACGTTCCTAGTGACAAGTCAGGTGAAATTTTACATTATTCACTTGTAGTAAGTCACCAAAAACCCGTTTGGTTAATTACAGTAATTTTTTTATAAAATAATAATTGTTTACTAAATAGGCTACATGAAGGGAGTTATTGGGGCAATTTCACCTGTAGTAAGCCAGTCTAGTCACTGAACATACTACAACCATTTTGAACATGAAAAAACCCTTTTGGTGAATTACAGTATTTTTCTGCAGAATACAGGCTACATGAAGGGAAGTAGGCTATTGTCCAAATTTTACTTGTAAGTCAGTCTTACAGAAACCTTCTACGAGCTTTGGAATTTGAAAATGTCTGTTATTAAATTTAAAAAGTAATTTGAATTAAAACAAACTATACGTTTTAACCACTGATCTATATAGAATGACATTATATAGATCAGTGGTTTTAACGCAGTTAGTGGAATTGGCAGACGTTCCCTTGTGCATCATGAGCTGTGGTTAGCGCGTCAAAGCATTCTCATGTAGAAATATGCAGCTACAGGCCCGCTACGCCAGTTGATTTTCAATTAATATTTCATGTCGATATACAATGGTTGCATATTGTTAAAACTCATCGTGCTATAGTAAGACTATAGCCTATGGCTTAAGGGTCAAGGGAAAACAAATGTAGCCTACTTCGAAAATCGTCTTTAATATTTAAAAACAGACATTTTCAAATTCCTGCTTGTATACTATGTACACAATGTGTAGTCAGATAAAAATAAGCATATAATATGAACGCAACTGCGAAATTTCACCTTTTTTTAACAGGAAGGAAAATTGTATTAACTTGAAACGCCGTGCGTTGCGTTCATGTAGTCTCTTGTCTGTAGGCTATATAGTTTTCCTCCCATAGAGCATATTATAAAGAAAAAGCTTAACGTCAATGCAGTAAGACGGTGATATTTAAACTCAGTAGCCAATACACCTTACTGAACATGCAACGCGCGATTGCACGTTAAGCGTTTTATAATGGTTTTCTATGGGTGTTGTTCATAATCTGACGTAATGTTTGCCTCTATAAAGTATGCTTTATTAATAGGGTAGGCCTATATTATTGTGTACTAAATTTGGTGCTTCAATATCACTCTCATTAAGCGTCTTAAATGCGGAAGAACGCTTGATTATGCTGCCGTTGTCTGTTTTAGCAGAATACTGCCATCTAGTGGTAGCAGCTTTTCTCAGACAGCTGTGTGTGGATCGTGCAAGGCGAAACCCGCGAAATGAAAGTCTCAAAATCCAAATGAATCAAATAGGATCGACTCAATGAATCGAGTCAATGAATGCACGCGCGTCACCTGATCCACACATGCACGTCTTCTGTGTTGCATGTGCAAATTATGATACACTAATACAAAGGAAAACATTTGTATTCACAAAAATGTCTCTATTTGTACAAATTGCTTCACATTCATTCAATTTTGAATTTTGCACACACAAGTTGAAAGGCATGGATAAAACATTTCTGCAACATGTATCAAGTTCATTGATAAGTGTGCTTGCACGTGTTAATCATTTTGATACTAAAATCATCCCATAGTCTTTTGCATCCAGCCTCTAGCGGCCAGTCGATGAATTGCAGTTTAAGTCACTTCCGTGTTGGTTTCAAGAGAGAGACAGGCAGGTTGCCGTTTGGTTTTGGTTTTAGTAAATTTGTTGTACTTATTTTGAAATGCATTTATTTAGAGTAAGAAAGTAAATGGTAATTTAACATATTTTATCCAAAATGACTTTACAGGCTCAGTTAAGCAGGAGTAGCTAGTTTAAGACCCGGTTTCACAGACAGGGCTTAGATTAAACCAGGATTAGGCCTTAGTTAAATTAAGACATATAAATAGCTTCTTCTTTTTTTCAAAAACGTGCCTTAGAAAAAACATTGCTGATGTGCATCATAACAATATCAGGAGGCATACCCAAACTTCAACCCCCCCCAATGTTCAAACCAAATCTATGCCCTTGCAAACCAGTAATCTGGTGGTAACCAGGCATTAGTTTAGGCCGGTGTGATATTCTACATTACTCACCGACAAACCACACAAGCAAGACCCATTTCCATGGCAAAGTCATCAGCGTTGGTTTCATCAATGTCTGTGAAATCTGGGATGGGAATGTCCTTGGTCTGAAAAGCAATCGGAGCGGGATGACTGTCCTGCTTTTCCACACGAGGTTTTTTAGGTGGCTCCGCTCCTTCTCCAGGATCAACCCTAATCTAAATATCATTATGATCTTTTATTAGGATGAGCTTTTCAAGTTATATCATATTTACAATAATAAACAATAGTGCAAAAAACCTTTTCCAAAGATCTTTTCTCGCTCTCTTTCTTGGTCTTCTCTGAGCTGCTTGATTTACTGCTGCTGCTGCTGGTGATGGATGATGATGATGATGAACTGGAGGAGGATTTGGAGTCTTGTTTGGTCATTTTTGGTAATGACACTTTGCTCACTTCGGCTTCCTAATGAATGGAAAATGAGACACAAATTAAAACATCTAACAATTATATTTCAAACATAAAAATACCTTTGTGATTTGATCACCTTCAGTGATGTCCTATAGATGGAGTCACTGCCCCTGGCTAAAGACTCATCCAGCAGGGCCTTAAGTTTCTCTGCTGAGTCTTTGCTCTTGGAGTGAAGGTACCCCAGTCCCTTCAGAAAGATGGGGTCTAGCTCTAGACTTACTGTTCCAGCCATTGCTTAGCAGTTATTATAAGACTTTACATAAGACAACGAATCAGCCCTCTTCCTATGGAAATGAATGTGGTGTATAACTTACACGAACAACACTAACGTTAGATAACCCGCATTTCTGTCTCGTACAATCTCTAGGATTTTTAAGATAAACTAAGCAACCTGAAACGATTGACTCGAGATTAACGTCTTCCAGCTTTTGACTAAAACACGTTTTATAAACAGTAGAAAATATTATTCTTAGCACTGATTAATTAAGTTTACAATGAGTAATTTGCTGCTTGAAATGGTCTGACTGCCTACCTATACCTAATAGAAATAGAACGAGTAGAAATCGCTTGATAAAATAAGGAAGCTTAAATGGGAGGGGCTTAGCAGCAAGACTGTTGTCTCTAATTGGTCAGATGGATCAATTTTCAGTTCTTCTATCTTCTAATAAACACATTTCTTCAGTATTTTTAATTCAAGACAATATTTAGAAAATTATTACTGACACAATTATTGTCCACATAAATGCTGAAGCAACACGTGCACGGTTTTGTCACATGATAGTTGTAACTTTTCTTACCGATGACCGTTTACCAGATTGGGATTATTTATGAGAGAGAGAGAGAGAGAGAGAGAGAGAGAGAGAGAGAGAGAGAGAGAGAGAGAGAGAGAGAGAGAGAGAGAGAGAGAGAGAGAGAGAGAGAACTCGCGAGGGGGTCAGACAATATTACTTGGAATAAACTGAGTTCAATTATTATACTTCAGTGTAGAAATTTCTCTAACAAGACAACCAACTCCTGAGATCTGAATGTGGAGTATCCTGCTTTCTGAGCCGTCAAGTGCCCCCTATAGGACGATCCATTTTATAGTGATATTTGCAGTCTAGTCTCCTATTTCTCTCTGATGACGCGTTGTGTTTCTTTTAAAACATACCGATATAAGAGATGCGTTTCAACTATCATATTCAGCCACACCACCCCACACAAAAGATATCACCTTCCAAGTGATTTATAAATAGCACTGTATAAACAGTTATTAACAAATAAAAACAACACCAAAAATGGGATCGTGTCAGTGAATTTAAAAATCAAATGAGTCGGACAATAATAATTGTAACACAAGGAAATGCTACGTAGTGCGTAGAATTGTCATATCCTCGATGAAATGGGTCAGTAAAGTCTTATGGTGAATTCTTAAAACCCTGTTCTCATATAGCCATCTAAGGCTATTTATTTAAAGACAAATCGTGTCGATTATAGCGTTGTTGACAGGGGTCGGAGGAATGCGTTGTTGGAGCGTCATAATTGTGCTGTCGAGTGTAAGAAGCTGATTGGCTGTTGCCAGTGTGACGGGGGTTCTTGTTCCAGATCGCAGGGGTTAGACAATAAGGATCCAAACAGCAGCATTTCCATTAATAACACAGCATAGATGGAATTTTTCTCTCTGTGATTTCAAGCAGCTGGCGCTGACATACACACACAACTGTTATAATTATATGAAACGACTTAATAATTATTCTTATTTATTTAATCACGTAGATAAATCAAATAAATCCCAGAAAAGGTAAGTGTCTCAAATATATAAACCCTAAACCATTTCAGTTAATTTCGACCTGCTTCATTTCTCTCTAGTCTAACAGAAATCGATCAGAGATGTTCTAATTCTATATCTTTTTTTATTATTTCGTATAGATAATGTTGATTGTGACATTATTGACAGATATCAGAGAGTAAAGTTGAAAGATTTTTTTGTCATTTTTTTAAACGAATTGTATACAGCCCTCATGTAAGCATCATTATAATAAATTACATGAGATACATTTAAAGCATTATTGGAATGTTAATGATAGTACAAATGATGATAAATAAAAAAATGTTTTCAATGATGTTCAAGGGTTTTATTTTTTTCTTTATTGTTATTATTAGTTTATTGTGTCTATTGTCTTGTTTTCTCATATATTTGGACCCCGAGTCAGTAAAAAAAGGTTGATGATGATTAGCTATTATTATTATTATTAACAATATTTTTTTCCCTCTTCAGATTCTGACTTTTTTAGCAAAGAAATGGTGATGGAGAAGCCCAGTCCCCTGCTGGTAGGGCGGGAGTTTGTAAGACAGTATTACACACTTCTCAATAAAGCGCCAGACTTTCTGCACAGGTATGCTCCATAAAAATAGTTTTATCACTTCATATGTCATTGCATTTTTATCTGAACATTAAAATTATTCAAAACTCGCATAATTCAGATTTTATGGACGAAACTCATCCTATGTCCATGGTGGACTGGATTCGAATGGAAAGCTTTCAGAAGCAGTCTATGGGCAAGCTGTAAGTCTTAATGTTAGTCATTTGTTTATGTATAACCTGTGAACACATCCAAATTATAAAGATATTCACCAGCATCTGTTTTCCTCATCTGTAGGAGATACATAAGAAGGTAATGTCCCTGCAATTCAGTGAGTGCCACACAAAAATCCGGCATGTGGATGCCCATGCCACTCTGAGTGATGGTGTGGTTGTCCAGGTCATGGGAGAACTTTCCAATAATGGACAGCCCATGAGGAAGTTCCTACAGACATTTGTGCTGGCTCCAGAGGTGTGTATAATAATAACGTGCCATATGTAGCCGTCATACAATCAAATGCATTATACAGTACCCATAAAAGGTATTGACTCCTTGAAAGTTTTTCATTAAACCTCATAGGATTTTTTTTTTTACAATTGATTACTGCAGATACATTTCTACAGATTTGTTCAAAATGTATTGGTGTAAACACCAAATAAACATTTGTATAGGTATTCACCCCAAGTCCATATGTAGTAGGTATGCAATTATAGCATTTGTGTAGATAGATACAGATTTGCACATATGTGACCCTGGACCACAAAACCAGTCACATAGGTAATTTTTTTTTAAATTGTCCATTTATGTTCGCGATTGTGCTGCATTCACTCACAAAAATAAATGTTTTATATATTTACGGTAGGAAATGTAAAAAATATCTTCATGGAACATGATCTTGACTTAATTTCCTAATGATTTTTGGCAGAAAAGAAAAATCTATAATTGACCCTTCGCTAAGCCACGGCCGAAAACCGCCACTGGCCAACCGTGTCTTAGCAACCGTAACTAAGCACGGGAGGTCTGGCCAGCTTTCGAGCGAGGGAAACATGCCGAAGCGTTGTGCGTATGGATTGTGCAAATCTGATACCCGGTATCCTAAAAGTTTGGACGGGGGAGTGGAATTTTTTTCCTTCCCGAAAATCTAAAAGCCGAGGGGAGAAATGCCGGGCGTGGATCAAGCAGTGTGTGAGACCCCATTCACAACTACATGTCCACAGGATTAACAAAAACACCTATTGCTTGGAAGTTGGAAATAATGACGGTTCTTTGTTCATAATGCATATATTTTAACGTAAAATAAGACGATTAAAGACAAGATGGAGGCTCACTGACATACTTTAAAATATATTTCTGCATTTTTTTAATCGACAGCCTACTACCCCTGACTGAGAAACGTTAACTTTAACCCAATCCGACCGCGGCTCTCCCGGTGTTGTTCCACAAGATTTATTTCCTGTTTGATTTATAATTAGTAGATTATTTTCACATCACTTACCCTGCTGTGCACGAACATAGCTGTTCCTCAATTTGTGTGTTTCCCATTTGAATGGTCAGCGTATGAGGCCTTGCGCTGGGACTATAGGCTTTAGCTTAAATTTTTATGAAATTATTCTCTAATTGGTTGCATATTATGTCATGGATATATCCCTCGAATGCATACTGCAGTCCCTTTTGTCTTGCTCTCTCAGATATTTCACATGTTCGCCAAAAATGACTAATTATCTCATTGGGAATGTCTGACACCGGTGCATACACACTGTAATACGTGTCAGGCACGAAAGCTTGACAGGCGTAGCAACAGTAACTAGGGAGGGCTGGGTCAATTTTGGCCCATATATTTTTGGCAATTGCTACAAATATACCCGCGCAACCTGTGACTGGTTTTGTGATCCAGGGTCACATATGGTCACTGAAATTTTTCAAGCTCAATCAAGTTGATTAGAGATCATGAGTGGAACAGCCTTTATTCAAATAATACACCCAGATATTCTGGACTCGGCCACACCAGGACATTAAATGTGCAGTAAGCGATTTCTGAGAAACACTGTTGATATTTTAAAATCAACACCCAAAAAATAACAAACACGCTATGCAACACAGGCAGTCGGCGCATCAGACAGCTCGCGCAAATATGGATAAATCAGCTGTGATTCAATAGCAACAGCATATCTTGGTTCTGTGAAATCGCAAAAACCAATGTTACTCATGTATTGAGCAGATACAGTGCAACCTCTCCAGTGCTGGAAAGCTTTTCCAGTATTAACGCAAGTTTGAGGAGTGTTTTGGTGCTCGGTGGATCAATCCAATCCACTTAGTTTTTTCTCTTGTTTACACAGCCAGGACAATGTACAAACACATTTTTTTAGCACACACAGAGAACAGGCATCAAACAAAATATTCACAAAATAGTTTTTTTCAGTGTTGATTTGAATATTTAATAGCGGTTCTCAGAAATCGCTTACTACACCTTTAAACATGTTGTTTCTCTGGCTTTCCAGCTCAGTGGGTTCATTGTCTTCCTGGAAAGGCATTGAATGGTTTATAGCCACCTGTAACAAATACGTTATTTTATTATTTATTTAAGAAAATTTGTGTTTGAAAATTTACTCAAGTTTGCCAATGTAAAGAAAAGTGGTCACATATTCTATTAGTTAAGAAGCACAACATTTATACACCACCACATTTATACGTTATTCATGAAAGACCCTGAATTTGTGATAAAGTGGCAGGGAAGTTTGTTTTCACAGATAAGTTACAGACACTGGATTCAATCTGTATACATTTATTTTAAGTTGGCTTTGTTCCCTGTTGTGACGTATACCTGAGTGAAACTGCTTCTCGAATGATACAAAATGTAGGCTGGGACTTAATTTTGGCGATCTGGAATTGATTGGATTATTGTCATTTGCTACTGTGGTGATATCATGTGAGTGACAGGTTGTCAGAGGGGAGCAGTTATTGTCCTGCCCTCAATCTAGTTCACATGTCATCAGAAAAAAGAGGAGAGCATGTAAATAATATACAAAAAGATTTTCATGGATAAATCATTTATATTATAAAATATACAATATATAAAGTAGTGCCATAAAAAATAAGATTTGTCCATTTTGAATTCATGGTGACTTTAAGAAAATGTAAGTGACAAATATAAGCCTAATATAATGGTGAAAACATTTATTAAAAAGCAACAAGAAACCTTTCACTGTAGCATAAGACATTTAATCTGTATTTAAAAAACAGCATCATATATACATTTCATTAATGTTTATTGTTAAGCATCTACTGTTAATTTTTCTCCATGATGCTAAGAACAAAGTTGATCTTTTGTTTGCTAGTATGGTCATAATATTTGACATGCATAATATTTACTTCACCTGTATAGCCAGTGGGTGAGCTAATCTGAAAGTCTTTTTCTTTTTAATTGGTGTCTAGGGTTCTGTGGCAAACAAGTTTTATGTTCACAACGACATCTTCCGATATGAAGATGAGGTCTTTGGTGACTCTGAGGCTGAGCTTGATGAAGGTTAGTTGAGAATTAAAGATGATTACATGCACCGGTATACAGTTCTTACATTACAGCATCTTTAAAAAGACTACAGCCCCTCATATCCAAAAGTATTAGCGGTACATGTCTTAACTTTGGTATTTCTTCCCAATTGTTTTTGGCTAAGCTGCTCTGGCTCCGTTACGCTTGAAGTCATTTTCTCCACTTTTACAATCTGCTTGGCCCCCAATGATTTCCAATTGCAGCTACATTTATTATTCTTGGTCAATCTGATTCTGAACTTTATCTGCATTTAGTGAAAATTCACCTTTGTGCGCATAAATGGTCTGTGGTTATTAATATTTTGTGTAGTTTTGAGATGGATGTGATATGTAGTTGCCTAGCAACAAGCAATCACATTTGCAATATTCCGAACATCAGCCCTGCTACCCCATTTGAGCTTGGAACTAGAAACGTAACATTTTGCATGAAAATCTCTCTCCACATCAGGAACAAATTAGCTTCAATTACCCATAAGTCCACTCCAACCTTGAAAATGTTTTCATTTTTTTATGAATTATACATACATATTAGCTCAAACCTTTACAAATCTTCTGATGAACCGCTTGGCCAATAAATCTGAATTTGTTGTCTGTCTGGACATGGTTTTATGTGTTTTGCAAAACCAAAATAATTTTGTTAGATATGTTTTAAAGTGTGGTGAAAGTTTATCAATGGAAAGCACTTAATGTTACACATCCCGAATGTCTTTGTGTTTGCGTGCGTGTCTCTGTGTGTGTGTACGTGTGTGCGTGACATGTGTGGCCTGGTAAACTCTATGGCAAAATGTCTCCACAAAGATGGCAGTATTCGAAATCCTTGTCCTTGTGGGGAAATTTGTTAGTGTTCATGAGGAAAAATAGCTTATAAATCATATAAGATTATGATTTTTGAAAATGTAAAACTGCAGAAAGTTTTCTGTGATGGGTAGGTTTAGGGTATAGAATATATGGTTTATAAAGTATAACAATCATTATGTCTATCGAAAGTTTCCATAAAACATGGAAACCCAATGTGTGTTTTTATCCCTCAAAAGTTTACTCTTAATTATTTAAAACTGCCATTTATAACAGTAGCCATAGCAATGCACAAATTGTTGCAGCATTTTCCCTCATGCACAAAAAGTCACACTACATCTAAAAAAAATACAAATAAAAACCTTTAACAAGGACATTCCTTATAACCCATCTCAAATTGTTTGTAACTATATACAATTTGGGATATAACTTTATGCTTTTTATAGACGAAACTCAACCACACAAAACACTTCAGGCACTTCAGTTCTGACAGGCATAAAAGACTCAATTACTACTGCAGAAGTCACCTACGAGCTTTTCACTGGTAAATTCCTATATCTTGCAGCTGTATTTTGTGAATTGGTTCCTTTAGAGCTAGAGTAATTAAGATGTTTTAAAGCAAGGGGATGGTACTTGCTCATTCAGTTTTTTTTTTCCTTTTTTTTAACGATTTACCTAAACAAATGTTTTGCAGAGTCAGAAGAAGAGACCGATGAGCCAGAAGACAGGCAGCCATCACCTGAACCCCTCCAGGACAGCCCCAGTAATGCAAACTGCTATGAACCCCATCCTGTGAGGTAAGCCACATTTCACTTAAAATGAAAGCCTACTTGGACTATAACTGTAGATGATTCTCAGTCCAGTATGGTACTGTTGGGTAAATATCTTGAAAATTGTAAATCGAAGCTCTGTTTGAATTTTAGGAGTTGTCTAATGGTTTTTATCCTTCTCTCTTTCACCTTCAGCTGTAACAATGGTGTGGAAGAAGCTCATGAGGAAGCAGCTATGGAACTAGATTCTGAAGTTGCCCCAGAACCCAAGATTGAGGAGCCGAAGCTCCAGGCAGAAGAGAAGGTTGTAGAGGAGTTTGAGGAGAAAGCACCGTCTCCTGTTCCTATGGAATCACCACCTCACATACAAGAACCACCTAAAGTAAATTTTGACGTTTAGTGCCATTTCTAAAATGTAGGTAATTTAAGTTAAAATTGTTAGGTATTTTGATAATTTGATAGTTAACGTTGTTTATTTAAGAATGCACAGTACAATTTGTACTAGTAGTATATTTTTACTATTCCTGATAAGTCATGCTGGGGCAAAATGATCTTGTCTCTGGCAGACTTCTTCTTGGGCCTCTGTGACCAGCAAAAATTTGCCTCTCTGTGGGACTGTTCCATCCTCTGGAGGTCAACCACATGTTGTTAAAGCACCAAACTCACAGGTAGCCCCTTATGAATACATTCATATCTTTCTTTCTTATTTTACTAGAATGCTGTTGACCCAGCATTACTTGAACCATGTTTCATTTGCATGCTATCTTGATTTTTTTCTGTTATCAGCCCAGAGTTGAGACCAAGCCAGAGGTGTCGTCAGCTACAATCCGTCCACGTGACCAGCGCATCCGTGACAGACCTTCAGTAACCTCAAGAGGGCTTAGATCTGGTATGAATCTAGAATAGAATACTTATAAAGCAATGCTTCCATACAACTTAATCATTTTATTTAGGGATTGATGTGATTCAATCACACTATTTTTTTTATTTCTCATTAGATGGCATCTCATCTTCCGAATCTCAAACTGGGAAACCACATTTCAGCTTTGTAAATAAAGGTAAATATGCCTTTCCATTGTGAATATGTTGTAGCTGTTTTGTTTGGGCAATGCTGCTGTTTGTTGATAACGAAAGACTGGTGTTGTTGGTCCCTGTATAGTCATGAATAACGACAGCTGATGCAATATATTGTATGTTGCTTAGGAAGGGGCGAAGAGTCGAGTGAAATGGACAGCAGAAGGGTTGTCCGGTATCCAGACAGTCATCAGCTGTTTGTTGGAAATCTCCCTCATGACATTGATGAGATTGAACTCAAAGACTTCTTCATGAGTAAGTTGTTTAAATTGTCATGGTAACCATTGCATTGATCCTTGTTCTCTCATATTTATTAATCAATCATCTTCACATTTAATTGTTCTTTGTCTCTCCAAACTAGCATTTGGAAATGTTGTTGAGTTACGAATCAACACCAAAGGCACTGGAGGAAAGATTCCCAACTTTGGCTTTGTTGTCTTTGATGATTCTGAGCCGGTGCAAAGAATTTTAGGAGTCAAAGTAAGGAAAGCTATTTGTCTTATGGTAAATGTATTTCAAGCGTTATTTTAAAGAGCATATTGCAGGTTAAAAAAAAATCTAAATTAATATATAACCTTGTATGAAAATACCATATGAAAAGGTAATGCAGGATTTAAAATGTTTTAAAACGACATAAGGGCACAAATTTAGTAGATAAAGTGAGCGTTTCTTTGACTGCTCGTAAAAACCGTTTTTTTTTTCAACATCGCGTCATTTTACGTCACCAGAGGGAGGGAGCATCAGCAGCGCAGATAGGTTTGTATTCAGTACAAGCGGGTAAATTTGCTTTTTTATACTCAGAATGACAATTTGGAATGTAAAGAACAACATATACAGTTATTTGTTTTATTAGGAAAATACCATTATACATAAAAAGAATTGGGCTTTTTTTCACGTTTTATAAATGACTTCACATTATATGTACATCTTTTGGAACAAACAAAAACAAAAAGCAATGAAAACATGTAATGCTTTGAAAGCACTGGATTTTATTCAAAACTTTTTTTGTATTTTTTATTTCCTGGCAGCTAATGTTAATGTGATATTGTGAATATGTACATGTTCTTGTGGCATGGAATTTAAAAAAAAAGTCAGTAAGAGCGGTCGTGAATCAGTGTTTTCGGTAGTTTTTGTATTTTAATTTATCATCGTCATCATGGTAAATTATTGTGTTTGTGGAGGTTGCAAAAACTCCGGCCTGTCAGGACATCGAGTCAGGTTTCCTAACAAGAAAAGGGACGGTGTTGTCTATCGTGCCTGTGTGCGGTTAGTGCAGCTGTAGAGACAGGATTTCTCTTCCGCATCGGCTTCGAAAAACGCGATCGTGTGTAGCGTACACCAGATCTGAGGAACAAAAACGTGTATATCAGGAATAAAAATATCTATCTGTCTCTCGATGAGAAACCGCTAAGTTATATCACGTAACGTTAGTCTGGACGGATATTAATGAGCATGACATATGCGCCTGATCAATATAGTTTATTCTGTTATTGGTAAATTCCAATACTCCTAGATAACCAATAATAGCTTTGCTATTAACTGATATACGATGGTAATAATCGATATACACCTCACATTTTACCAAACAGAATGAACGATGCACTATTAACTATTACACTATTAATTAAAACTCACAGGGAACAGCATTAAATATAAAAACACATATGCCTTACCTTTTTGTTGCAGTGCAGTTTTTATTGCAGTGGTATAATGTTTTGCCAACAGCACTACAGTCCTCATTTTTTATTGCTGCTTCCATTCTCCTGTCCTGATTGCTATTATTTAATTTCTTCGTTAAAAAAACATCCAGGGAAGATTGAATAGGCCTGTTCTTTTAACATTTACTCAGTATCTGACAGCTAGGCTAATCAAAAATATGCGCGATTAAGTGATGCAATAAACTGCGGCTGCGTACACTCACTCCACACAAGTTTTTTTATAATAATACTTTTGCAATAATGTGTGTCTCCTCTGACCGTTGTTCTGTCTAACATTAATCCTGGTCTGTCCCTGCTCGTTCGGCAGCATAGCAGGCTCATAATTGTAAGGCTGTCATCCGTGGTCTGTCATACGAGTAAGTCCGAAATGTCATTGCGATCCATTGTTTTCCTGTTGTTTGAATGGTTTGAATCGACCGCTCTCCCGCCCGTTACGTCACGCCCATTTTCAGATGCGGAAGTAAAATTCTCTCACAAAAACGACTCCAGAAGCCAATGTAACGTATTTATAAGTATATTTTAACGAAAATCTAATTACTACATTGTTTTTCTATACATTGACTCGTTGGGTCCTCTAACCTGCAATATGCCCTTTAAAGGGATGCACTGATTTTAAAATTCTGTCCGTCACAATAAGATGTATTTTATACATAATAAGATATCACAATTTTGTGTTTTGGCTGATGACATATAAATGGTTTATAGTTTATAAATTTTGTCAATTGAATTATTGCAAAGCACCGTCCGTGAGACGGGTACTGTCCAGAATGTAAAGCTCTGGGCTGGTCAAAGAAGACTACAGAGCGTTTTGTCACTAGGTTGAGCATTACCACTATATGTGACTACTTCAGATATACACTTGTGAGGAACCTCCAATTTAATTTTGCACTGCAAGGCAAGTTTGAAGGATCTGTCTGGATATTGACTAATTTTTAACACAATAAAGATCCCAAACAACACGCATACAACAAAAGCTTAAACAAAAAATAACTTGATTTAAAGCTGCAAGCAGCAATGAAAGGGTCCTAAATATTAGAAATTACACAAAACACAATGTGCAAAACTTATTGAGCAATGCTCAGACTGGCTGCTGTAAAAAAAAAAAGAAAAAAAGGAAGAATTAAATTAGTTATTGATTATATTTTAGTCAACGTTAGGGTTATTATTGTTAATTAAAACTAAAACCATTAAAAAAACTTCATTACTTGTAATAAAATATACAAAAAAAAACGTAGATGCTCATTTTAATTTCAGCTAAAGTACTAAAATAAATTAAAAACGAAAACTTAATAAAACTATATAGACATTCAAAACAACAATAAAAATGACAAAACAAAACTAAATTACTGGAATTTGAACTGAAAATTAAAACTATAATATAAAAGCATAAATTAAAATAAAATTCTGAATATAAACAAAACCAATAATAGTATACAAATTATACTAAAATAATACTGGTCAATGTATGCTTTATTTCCTGTAAGCTTTTTGTCTTTCTATGCATTTTTTTTTTTGCTTTGTAAAATAAAACCTATATTCCTATATAATAAGCTGTAGTTTGCCTTTTATGCCAAATAATTTTGTCAGTTTAATATCTTGATCAACTTTAGCGTTTTCTTCTTTCCAGTTTAACTCCACATATTTAAAGGGCATATTGCAGGTTAGAGGACCCAACGAGTCAATGTATAGAAAAATAATGTAGGAACTAGATTTTCTTTAAAATATTCTTATAAATACGCTACAGAAGCTTCTGGAGTCGTTTTTGTGAGAAAATTTTACTTCCGCGTCTGAAAATGGGTGTGGCGGGCGTGACGTAACGGGCGGGAGAGCGGTCGATTCAAACAACAGGAAAACAATGGATCGCAATGACATTTCGGACGCTGAGGAAATACTTACTCGTATGACGGACTACAGCCATACAATTATGAGCCTGCTATGCTGCCAAGAGAGTAGGGACAGGCCAGGATTAATGTTAGACAGAACGGTCAGAGACAACTTGAGTTGTGGTGTGAGGAGAACCAGTGGAGAACAGGACAGGTGTCTTGGTGAGAGACGTGCTTATAGATACACGTTCGCTAACGATACACTGTGCTCACAATATTGTACAGATTATTACCATCGTATATCAGGCCAGCAAACATTAGTATGTTTAGGGTAGATGTATACTATTAAGGCACACTGTGGAACTTTTCAACCTTTATAATATATTACCAAAACCCATTGAGATGGTACATCGACTTACAATAGGTTGAATGACACGTCTGCCGAAGCCTGAAGGTGTCTGTATCGCTTTTACCAGCACTATGTAACTTCGGGTTTCGGGTAGGAACCCGAGCACAAAAAGAACTACAAAATTCGACCGTTTTACGGCATACGTCACTTCCCCCACCACCCCAACTTCCTCAAATTCTAGCGTGAGAGCTCAACTCGCGTTTGATTGCCGGCGTCTGTATGTTGTCGTCATGGCTGAATCAACAGCTACTCGGAAGAAAGCGAAGAAAGCAAAGATTTTGTCAGAGGAGACCAAAAAAAGAAAAAGGGAGAGTTTAAAATAAACATCGGCATAGAAGTGTATGTAATATTTACTGCGAATTCGTGTAACAAAACTGATATAAGTCACAACATACTGCCGTATACAAATGTAAATGTAAATGTTTTTTTTCCTTTCAGCTCATATATGTTTGTATTTGTGTAAAAGGAAAAACAAACTGAAGACTACAAATAACGGAAATATGTAGTGAGTTATATCAGTTTTGTTACACGATTTCCCTACTACTCGATTTCATCTCCAACCCATTGCAAAGAGATCCTGAAGACGTTAATTGTTTGCTTCAGGTGTGTTTGATTAGGGTTGGAGATGAACTGTGCAGGACAGACGATCGGCAGGAGCAGGATTGGGCAACCCTTGTCAATGCGACTTACCTGATCAGACATTGTTTTCTGCGTATGCTACTTTTATTCAATTTGTTTTCTTTATAGGATTTATATTATTAATTTTATATTTATATTATTATTTTGGTCAGTAGTGAATCGATTAACTTTCTCCAACATACAAATCAAATGCCGTCTGCACACACATAAAGACACGGGAGGTTGACCGGTTGACTGTTTGTTGACTTTTGCGACAATGCTGCGGCGCTTGTGGCCACTAGGGGCACTAGACGTGAAAATTACAGGTCGAGCGCACCCTAGTGGCCAAAAATTCCACAGTGTGCCTTTAAATGTATAAAAACTATACTTGAGTATATTTCTATTGTAAGTTACTAAAAACATACTCAAGTACATTTTTAAAACATATTTTTCATCTGGGTTATAACATAAACAGAAAATTAAAGATTTGAATATTTAATCAACCTAGTAATTTTGTTTTTCAATTACAAGTTGCCTCTATTTAGGGCATGACTACCTATATATCACACTATTTGATGCCATTGGTACAGTATACGACGATCAATATTCTTGCTTCGGCATCCCATGTTAAACTCCATCATATCGCCGGGATGATAATCCTCCGATCTGAAGTGAACGCTACACACGACCGCGTTTCTCGAAGCCGATGCGGAAGAGAAATCCCGTCTCTTCACCTGCACAAACCGCACCAGGCACGAAAGATATACAGCACCGTCCTTTTTCTTGTTATGGAAACCTGTGGACTCGATGTCCTGACAGGGCGGAGTTTTTGCAACCTCCACAAACACAATAATTTACCATGACGATGATAGATTGAAATACAAAAACTACCGAAAACACACTGACTCACGGCCGCTCTCACTGAATGCCAGCCTACTCTGCACTGAGGCGAGGCTGAGGCTCCCTAGCGTGACGTATAATGACGCGATGTTGAAAAAAAAGCCGTTTTTACGAGCAGTCCAAGAAACGCTCACTTTATCTACTAAATTAGTGCCCTTATGTCGTTTTAAAACATTTTAAATCCTGCATTACCTTTTCATATGGTATTTTCATACAAGGTTATATATTAATTTAGATTTTTTTTTTTACCTGCAATATGCTCTTTAATAGCATAATCAAACTTGTAGGGTCATTAAAAACAAATATTGTGCAAATATCCCTTCCGGACATCATTTTTGACCACAACTGTATAATATCCATAAAAAGTCGATATGATAAATGGAAAAAAACCTCTAGTTTTGGCATTGCTGAATGGTACTGATAAATCGGGCATCCCCAGCCTGGGAAAACCCAGGCAACTTCCGGCAAATTTAGATTTGCTCTGAAAGTTAGTCTGGCAAAGAGCTCATTCAAGCCCATTTCCAATCCGTCGAAATCGCGGCACCAATCAGAAACGACGGGGCGGGCTTTACTCGATGACGACGGCGCTGGGATTTTGAAGCAGATTTTGTAGCCTACATTACAAAGATGGATGCCGCCGTCGAACATCACTCGTTCGAATCAGCTATCACGTCTGTTTTAAGCGCTTTGAACGTTTCCTTTTTGTTAAAAACCGAGCAAAGAACAACACTCAGATGTTTCTCCGCCGCTCTGCATACATCATCTCCTTCATCGCTCTGATTGGTTTTAGGTCTATCCGCGACGTCCGTTGGTGACGCCCCTCTGGAAATGATTTGTCTATGACGCTTTCCCAGACCATAACTCAGTTACAACTGAGAATGGTCTGGTTTTTAACCAGGCTAGGGCATCCCTATACTTTTCTTTGTAATACATTTCTTCAGGTGTAAATATGTGGTATTGAGAGAATATTTCATAACTGACTCCATGTCATTTTGTGTTGATTAGCCAATCATGTTCCGTGGTGAGGTACGTCTGAATGTGGAGGAGAAAAAGACGAGGGCAATGCGTGAGAGGGAAACCCGTGGTGGAGGTGGAGAAGATCGTCGGGAAGCAAGACGTAGTGATCGTGGTCCAGGAGGTCCGCGTGGCATTGCCGGAAGCAGCATGATGCGAGACCGTGATGGCAGAGGCCCACCTTCACGTGTCGCCACCATACCTAAACAAGGCATAGCCTCTGGGAGGGGCACGGCTTCAAGTGAGGGCCGGTTTGCTCCCCAGAGGCGTTGAGAGGAGCTCCCCTTGTAGTTCGGATGTAGTACAATGTTCATTTATTATGATATTGAGAAGTCTATGTTAAAACATATACATACTTTTTATTTCCTTACTCCTTATGTTGTACACTTGGATTTTTGCCTTAGGAATGTCAGCTGTTTCATGTGAAACAGATCAACAACTTGAACAACCTAATGACTCAAAACACTCGAGTCACTTTAAATTGGAATTGTGCTGCAAATCCTCTGGTTTGTCATTTATCAAATGGTAAAAATTACAAACTTGATGGGGAAACAAGTCAGGTGTATTCAGTGCCGTTAGAATTTCTTTGACATTTCATACTAATTACCCTCCAGTTGCTATTGGTGTAAAATATGCAGATTGAAAGAATTATTATTTTTTAAATATTTTAATACATATTATTTCGGAAATTACACTAATCAGCTCATTAATAAGGTAAAGGCTACATGAAGGCGCAATTGTGAACTAACAGTATTTCATTTAATTGTATTGAACTGTCAAGAAAGAAGAAAAAGAAAGGCTTTAATTGTGTTCTGAAAGACAGTGAGAGTGCAGACAAGACGGTGTCCGCTCTCCTATTCTGTTTATGTGTTTGTCTTTTTTATGTACATGTTTGACAGCATTTTATGTTCTGGTTCTGCCTGAATAAGTGAATGGAGCACCAATAGAAGCAACTGTAAAGTGTAAAGGTACCAGGATTTTTGTGTAAAGGTGTTTTGGATTTATGCTGAATGTTTTTCTTAAGGCAGAGGCACTTTATCAAATTTTTTTTTTTTTTTTTTTTTTTTTTTTTTTTTGCCCAGTTTTCATAACTTTAATCTCATTTTGTGACATGAGTTTCAGTTTACATCCTAGGCATTGTTCTTCTTTTTTTAATTAAAACATGACAGATTTATACAGGGTACCGAGAAACATGGCTGGTGTATTTCTCACTTTCCCAAACTGACTAGTTTTGCATACATTTTTTATTGAAATTATTATAATAAATAACATTTTAAATATCACTGATTGGAACAACTGTTTGTCAAAATGCTTATTGTAAATCTTTTTTTTTTTCAGACACACGCACAAAGTAAGAGACTTCATTTTCTGAACATTTTGTAAAAAAAAAAATCCTTCCATTTACCGGTAGTAGTTTTTTTTTTTTTTGTTTTTTTATATATATATATATATATATATATATATATATATATATATATATATATATATATATGATTGATATCCACACCCATTTTCGCCTTGGTCATAATGAGGAACATGTGAATGCCGTTCTTCGTGAATTGGAGGAACCATAAGTACAGTAGGCACTGTTTTCATTTTGCAGTGTTAGTCTAAAATTTGCACTGATTTTGTAAGTACAGTTTGATGTAGCGCTATTTTTGATGTTTAATGTCTTCCGTGTCAGGTAGATTGCACTATTTGCAGTATTTCTAGGACAATCCTCATCAGGGACATTGCATTTCTTTTTTTATTTGTTCATTTCTTGGGGGACAACTTGTTCTCTATAAAAAGAAATTTTGGTTGCAGATGCATTTACTTTTAGAAGATTTTGGAAGAAAGTATGCCAATATGTCCTGCCTATAGAGCCTTCTTTCCCCATCCACTCTACCTAGTTCTTATGTGTTCGGAGTTTGGGACCTGGAACGTTTTGATTACTGTGTAAATAAATGCCACAATGGCCTTTCTATTTAGGCTTCAAGCACTTCAATCAGCCAAATACTTTAAATGTTTGGATCACAAGAGAGAAAAAAGAAGACATTACACCATAGGGCTTGGTCAAATAACTGTGCTTTTCAACCCAAAAAAAATATGCATCAGACTTTGATTTATTTTATCTGTTCATATCATTTAATCATTCTTTTAACCCTCTAATCCTAATGCGAAATATTTTCTTTGGTTTCCTTGCAGTTATTGTGACATTTATAGATGCTCTGTTTATAGATGTAGTTTATTTTGGTGGAACATGAACATGGTTTTGTATTATCAGGTGGTTACCAAATTATTTTCTTTGGACTGCATATTTGTATGAGTAAAATATGTTGCAACTGAGTGTTTATTTTTACTGGGATTTTTTTTTGTATTTTTATTTCACTTTCATTAGATTTCAATGTGTTAAACTTGACATACAATAAACAGAAATCTGTGCCGTGCAAAATCTTGCAGCACTTGCAGTCTGTTTATTTAGACTCATAAAAGAAAGAATTATCAGCATGGTTTTTTTGTAACAAATTGCCGATTTTGGCAAATTTAGAAACATTTATACAATAAAATATTCTTTGGTGGTTACAATACATACAATTCTGAAATGAATGAAGTGATTTTTAGAGTTCAAGTACTTCAAATATCAATATCTTTCTTGAAAATGATAACAAAAGAATGTGTTTTCTTTGACAAATTACATTTATGATTGTAAAATTGTGCAATTAGCAGCAATAAAATAACTATAAACATAATGTAAAATGGGTCTATCTATCTTTTGGCAAATACAGAATTTGATTTCTTTACTTACTTTTTTTTTTTTTTACTAAATTAGAGGTCAATCCAAAACACTGCGATTATTTTCTGGGTAACAATTCTGAATAAGTAGGAACTTCACCAACTTTGTTGAGCAGAAATTTTGTGAAAAAAAGCCATATTATTTCCATTCTGTCACTAAATGTATTATTCCCAAAACTTATACAGTCAGGTAAAGAGATCTAAGTTTTTCCAATAGTTTTTTTTTAACATGTGAAAAGCTACGACACACTGGACACACATGAGAGAATAGATTAGAGTCAATCAGAATGGTGTTTGACTGTAACTGTCTCTTTAAGAGACCGTCACTGACGCAGTGGTCAGCCACGTATCGCCACGTCTCTACGCATGCGCGTCTTAGTCAGTTCCGGGCTGGGTGCTGGTGTGTTGAGAGATCAACATCAGGCAGCTGCTGATTTTAATGACATTTACTTTCTGCCTGTCCTTTGGAATCTCTAGTTTAACTGACGTTTAATCTGTCTGTAGACCAACGTCTAAAATATTACTACAGCGGACACATAGAAAGATGAATTTCCTCAGGGGAGTAATGGGGGGGCAACCAACAGGCCCACAGCCGACTGGAGCAGAAACAGTGAGTTTAATTACTGCAAAAACAAATACATATATTTGAGAATAAATAAAAAATGAATACAGTTTATAAGCAGCTAAAAGCAACTGCTTATCAAGTCAATGACACACGTTAGATAATGCTTTCAGATCAGTAACGTTAGTTGATATACTGTGCACAGAAATATGAATATGATTAGATGTATAAGTTAGCCTATGAACCAGTGTTACAAAACATTTCTAAATGACACTTTCAAATCAGACCGTGTTTATGCTTGAACCTTGATGTGAAATATGTTCTATTACACTGTAAGTTAACTTATATGATGTTTGGTTTGTTACCAATAGTCTTTGCAAAGTGTTATTTTTACCATTGTGATGTTTCCAACTAAATTTTCTGTAGGGATAATGTAACTTCACTCTGACAAGGCATTTACCAACCGTTATTGTGTGTGTTCAGATTCAGAAGTTGTGTGACCGTGTGGCTTCATCCACCCTGTTAGAGGATCGAAGAGATGCTGTCCGTGCCCTCAAATCTCTGTCCAAGGTGACCAGCAATTAATGCTTGTGTTGATGTTTGTTATTGAGCTGTTGTAAATATACACTGCCATTTAAAAGTTTGGGGTCAGTAAGGAAAGAAATGAATGCTTTTATTCAGCAAGGATACATGCATACATTGATAAATAGTCTCTTTCTGTCAAATACAATATTTTCTATTGAACTTTCTATTCATCAAAGCATCCTGATTTTAAAAAGTATCACGTTTAATAATTATAAATGTTACTAGAGCATCAAATCAGCATTTTAAAATGATTTCTGAAGGATCATGTGAAACTGAAAATATTATTTCATAATATTACTGTATTTACTGTATTTTTGAGCCTTGGTGAGCATAAGAGTTTTCTTTTGCAAACATTCTTATAGACTCCATACTTACTTTTGAGTGACAGTATATGCTCAATAATATTGAAGCTTGCCGTAATTGAGCAATAAGGTACAAGAGATGTTGCTATATAGTGATTATAGCCACAGTTAAAAGCCGTTGTTTGCCACAGTGCTCAACAACCTCTTTATCCATGCATATATTGATAGGAATTTTTGAGTATCTTTTTCTTATTGCTTTTAATATATTTCTACATAAAGATTTTTCTTAAAGACCTCCTGTGGTGAAAATCAAGTTATTAATGTTGTCTATATGTCTAAGTGGTGTTTTTAAATATGCTTTAAGACAAACAATGTGCAAATGCACAAGTCAATATGCCACTTAATGCGTTTGCTTAAAGTCCTCCTGTAGTCAATAATTGTATCCCTTGCTGAGTATTTTCTCCTTAAAACTCCAGTGGTCTGAAGTCAGTTTGAAATCGCTGGTGTTTCTGACTTCACAAACTACCTTGTAACCAATCAGGTCAACGTGCCGGCGGGCTTTAGCATATCTTTACTATGCCGAGAAGCATAGGGAGTCTCAAGAGATGCCAGGTTATCTCGATATTTATTCTTTTGTTGAAAAATATGAAAAATCGGGTAGATTTAGGAATATAGCGGGTGTATGATGTATATTACGAGATTATGATGAATGCCTTTCTCCACTGACGTTCTGAGTTCTTCAAAGCGTTTCTAAGGATGCTGATTGTTAGAAGGTAGCTGTCTGAAGGCATGAAGAGAATTGTTTTTACAGGAAAAACTTTTAAATATGTAATAATAATGGTGATCAAAGATGAGTTTTAAGGGATAAAATGATTGACTACAGGGGGACTTTAAGCAAATGCATTAAGCGGCATCAGTCTGCTAGATATAGCCTAGTCCCTACTCCCTACAGAATGTTACTATGCAACTAAAATAACAATCCTCTATGGGAGTTGCACAGTGATATGGTGAACAGGTGTTATTTTGTGGAATATTGCACATTTTATAAAAAGCCTGTACACTTTTGGCACTGTTTATAATGCATATGTGATATTACAGTAAATAGAATATCAAAACAGAAGAAATCCAGTACATGCTGTGTTCGTTTCACTGTTAAAAACATGCCTTGAAAGTGATGTGAGGTGTGTTTTTTTTTAAGTGAAAATAATTCCTCCTATCCCGATAAGTAAGCCATCATAAACTGATTTGAAATAACAAATTGGTGGGAGTGTTCAGAAACAGTCATTATGCAGTTCCGTTTGGTGCAGCTAATGTTGCAGAAATTTCACTTCTGTCCCAGAAGTTAAATTTAAGGGTAATTTCATATATTTTTGATTGAAAATATAGCCTATACATTACTCAGTTGTTTGTTGAACATGTGTCAAGTAGATTTTTAATTACAGAAATACCGTGTGGAGGTTGGAAATATGGCGATGGACCATTTGGTTCGTATACTACAGACTGACCGGTATGTTTCACAATTTGGTCCCAAAAAAATTGCATTTACCATAAAGATAGGTCTTGTTGTGTTTTGTTGATATTACGTGAAAGGGCTTTGGGTTTAAACTTTAAAATTGTGTTTTTTAAAACAGGTCAGACACTGAAATCCTAGGTTACGCTTTGGACACTTTGTACAATATTGTTTGCAATGATGAAGAGGAAGAACCAGGTATGTTTAGGCTATATTCTTAATTTAGTCTGGTTCAGATATGTATGGAAGTAAAATAATGTCAAATGTTTTTGAAACAAAAAGTCTGTTGAATTGCACTACTTGAAAAAAATATGCATTGCATTAACCCTGCTTGTATTTTAATGCATTGTATTTTTAGGGCTTGCATTTTTATTGGCTGAAATTTAGCATGGTTGAATATTTCAGCTGTGAATATTTCAAATCAAAACATTTCAAACACATTTTCATTAGTAAAATT